GCCCGGGTCTTAGGGAAGACCAAGTAGAGCGAGCCAAAAAGGAGTTGCTTGTCAAGGTCAGACGACTAGCCTTGTGGAAAAGGAGGTCCTGGACCATCTTGGTCAGGTTTTCAGTCCTTCTTCAAGAGGCGAGAGTGGTACGGTTCTCTAGAACTTGGAGGGAACCTTTGACTGAGGTCGAAAGAAAATTTGAGGAGGACTCTAGGTGGCTTGGAAACCCCCTCGAAGCCAGGGTGCACCTAGTGCAGGCTCGTTTCTGGGACAGGACGGGAGAGTACGAGCAAGCCTTGCATCGGACGATACCTGATCAAGGAGAGGACTCTCGAGAGAGGTGTGAGGATTCGCTAGTCGAGGCGGCAGAGAGATTAGCTCGGATAAGGTAAGCCGGTCAATGATTAGATACGATAGGGGGAACCCTGTCAGGACCTTAAAAAGGGCTTGGAAGTCAGGGTCTAGGTATGGAGTGACCCTCCTCAAGGTTGAGGAAAAAGGGGAGGTTATTCCGGAATTCTTCGAAATCTACGGGCAGGAGACGTTTGTTCGTTTCTCGGTAGTTTCAAGAGAGGGTACCCGCACACGAAGGGCTGAGATCTTCTTGTCTCAAGACGATCGACAGTTCTTTGCTACCGAGCTGGCCAAAGGAAAGGACCCGCTAGGTATCGCGGAGAAAGTCCAAAACCGACTTAGAAAGTGGAGAAGGGGAGTAGCAAGAAGGTGTGAGATGGAGAAGGTTGAATACTGAGGAAGAATAGAAATCCCGTGGGCAGCCCACGACCGAACCTGGGAGGTCCCTGCTTGGGTCTATTGTTTGCTATACCCCAACGACGCAACGATGAGGAAAGTCCAAATTAGAGAACCGATAATTGAGAAATTCCCCCTAGGAGAAGAGAAGGGCCACGAGCTGTTCATCCTGTGTAGGGAGTCCCTAGAGCTTACGGACTTTGAGTGGTGGTCGGCGATTTCATTAAGCCCCTGTTCTCGGGACGGGCCAGAGAAGTAGATAGAGGCCTGATTAGACGATGCTCGTAGACAGGGATTAGGGGTGTCTCGGATCTGGAGATTGTCAATCTTGCGCTAGCCGCTTCCGAGGAGAAAAAAGTGTGGGACTCTTGGTGGACTGTGACCAGCGAAGAGTTCGAGAGTGATAGTGAGGGACGGGAATCAAATAGGGAAGAAAGAGGMTTGGAGGGGGGTAGCAGGGCAGAAGGCTGAGGGAGTGACTCTAGCGGAGAGAGCGACTAAAAACTGGTGCATGGAAAGTGTGGTTGAGCTCGGGGTCGCCCGATCGCTGTTATGGGGCGAACCGAGGAGGATACCGAGTTGGGGGCGCAATTGAGCAAGTCGGCCAAAGGGGTGACTGAGGGGGTAGAAACTATTGGTAAGGCCTTAAGGAACCTAGATGAACCCCTCGGAGAGAAAACTACGGGACCGGGTGCGAGTTCAGATGAGAATTTGCACCGAGAGATGGAACCGCGTCTACCTGTGAGAGAAAGGGTGCCGGACGCCACAAGGGGCTTCCCGGTCGAAACCCGATGGGCGGGCCACGTGGACACGGAGGAAAGAACCGGCGAGGGGCAGGAGTGCCCTCGTGACAGGGCTGGGTGTTGGGCACCAAGGAGAAGCGAAGAAGGTGGCCTAAGGAGGAGGGAACTTGGGGAAGAACGACCGATCGAAATTGGGGGAGGACCGCGAAGTTGGACCGGCAGGGAGACCGGTCCCGCATGGGTGCAAGAGGAGGCGGCAGGAAGGAATATGGGAGGATTCGGAGACATCTGGAGAGGGGCTAGGGGCCAGGAGTCCGTGCATTGGGAACGCGAAGACCGGGTTATAGAGGTCGCCGTGAGGAGGAATCATGGGGACCTCCGAAAGCTCGACCTCGGATGGAGGATTTGGACCCTTCTTGATACAAACCCTATGATCTGACGATAGATGGGCCGGTGGAAGGTCCTTATTTTCGTCGCTGTTGTCATCAAGGAGGTAGTTGGGGGGAAGTTATCGCATTGCGGGGTAAGCCCCGGAGGTGACTTGCGAATAGGTGGGACAAGGGGTGGGGATGGTGGAGGACGTCATGATGGGTTGGAAGATAGTATGAGAGTGCGGGGGGGTAAGACGGGTGGCGTGATTAGGCGAGGAATAAGGCGGTGTGCTGGAAGTGTCGGATGAGGGGGGGGGTGGGGGGATTGAAACGATGGAAGATGATGAGGGGGGGGAAGGGTGGAGGATGAAGGGTTGGTGGATGTGGTGGTAGAGGTAGTAGGAGTGGAGGAGGTCGGCGGGAGGGTGTTGCTGGAGGTGGCTGTGGAGGAGGGAGTGGTTTGTGTTGTGGAGGAGGCACGTGCCRTCGTGGTGACGACCGTGATGGAGGGGTTGTTCCCTTMGAGCGTGGTGACGCRGTCGGATATGGACGACACGTTAGCCTTTATGTCTTCGAGAGAGGCGGTGACGGAGGTTTCGAGGGTGTTGAGTGCGTGGAGGATGGCGAAGAGGTCGGGAGTGGCGGTGTTTGCTGGTGGTAGTTCGCCTACGAGATTGCGGGCGATGCTGTCGACCGAGTCGGTGCGGATGTCAGACATGTTGATGGAGGATGTGGCCATGTCGGGGGAAGAGAGGGTGGATGACATGGCCGAAGCGGAAGTGGAGGATGCGGCAGTAGCGGTGGCGGCGCCATGAGCGGCGGCGTCGGCGGCGGAGCATTGGGAGTTCTTGGTTTGGCGTGGTGGCATGTGGAGAAGGGGGGACAATTCCTATTTACAAGAGTAGAGCGTCAACAACTGAGGTAGTAGAGAATCGCAGAACAAAAATTAATTTTGAATTAATTTGAATTTATTCATTCGCAAGTGTATTTTTCAAAAAATACGAAAGCGAATTTTTCAAGAATTTTCAATCGAAGAAAAAGAGTAAGTTACTCTGAGAAAAATAAATTCTGAAGAAATTTATTCGGATTTTTGTTCGAGGTAGAATTTTATAATATCGAAAAGGGGTGCTTAATTCCGAGTAAAAGAGATTAATTCATTCATGAATTAATCGAGTTTAGTCGAATTTAATTAAGTAGTTTAGAGAAGAAAAACTTTTGAATAGAAAGGAAATTTTGAAAAAGAATTGCGAAAAAGAAAATTTTGAATTTTTATGAATTAAAATATATAAGAAAAAAAATTAATTAGAATTATGTTTGAATTTCCAAAAGAAATATCAAAAAAGGATTTAATTAATTCTGAAGTATTTCCAAAATTTTCGAAGAGAAAAACGAATGAATTGAAAGTAGTTGCGAATTTCAAAGAAATGTCGAAAGAAAAATAAAAATAAAAAATTCTAACGTATTTCGAGTTACGAAAAGGAAGAGTTTGATTAATTCTAAAATGTTTTCCAAATTACAAAAATTCCGAAAAAGAATAAGGAATGTTTTTGAATTATGAAAAAGAAATGTCGAAAAAGGATTTAATTAATTCTGAAGTATTTCCAAAATTTTCGAAGAGAAAAACGAATGAATTGAAAGTAGTTGCGAATTTCAAAGAAATGTCGAAAGAAAAATAAAAATAAAAAATTCTAACGTATTTCGAGTTACGAAAAGGAAGAGTTTGATTAATTCTAAAATGTTTTCCAAATTACAAAAATTCCGAAAAAGAATAAGGAATGTTTTTGAATTATGAAAAAGAAATGTCGAAAAAGGATTTAATTAATTCTGAAGTATTTCCAAAATTTTCGAAAAATAATTACTTCGAACGAAAAGAATTAATTCTAAATATTTTCGAATTACAAGAATTCTGAAGAATAATTAATCAAAATTAAATTAATTTTGAATAATTTCGAATCGCAAAAATTTCGAATGAAGAAGGTGCACAAAATTCGGAATTTAGAAAATTGACGAAATAAATGAAAAGGGTAAAAAAGGAAAAATTAATTGAAATCGGAAATAATAATAATAAAAAAATTCCACAAATAAAAAGGCGATTTAAATTTTAATATTAGTTTAATGGATTTAATGGAATTTCAAGGAAGGTGGGAAGAAAATTTCCAAGTATATATAAAAGAGGTTAATTCTAGAGTATTCAAGGAATTTCAAAGAGGAAAAAAAAAATTCGATTGATTAATTTCAAAATATTTCAAAGAATTACAAAATAATTTCGTAAAAATTAATTAGGTTCAAAAATAATATTTAAGAAGAAATTTCCAAATTGCAGAAATTTCAAGAATTTATTCGAAAATAGTTGAAGCAATGAAAAAAAATAATTCAAATTTTCGGAAAAGGATTAATAAAAACGTAATTGAATTGCAAAAAGGAGTTCCAAGAAAATTTGGAAAGAAATAAAAAGTATTCCAAAAAAAAGAGATGACATATTTAAAGAAATTCGGAAATAATGAGCTTTCGAAGTATTAACTACTTAGTTTTAACGTATTTCAAAAGAAATGTCGAAGGAGCTGATGGCAAATTGTTATAAAAGCAGTATGAAAAGTATTTTAGGAATTACAATAACTGAGAAATTAACAAATATTTGATTGATGATAAACTAAGTGGGTGGAGGGGGAGAATGGGGCGC